CCGGATAAGTAAGAGAAAATCTAATTATCAGTCAAATAAATTATGAAAATAAATTTTAAATTAATAAAATATTAAAGAATTAAAAAAAACAGAGAAACCCTACCGTGTAAGTGTTAATTTCACCTAAACTCTTTTAATGTTTTTAGTAATTACTAATATTAATTTTCACTCTATAACAAAACATTGAATAACCCATCAAAACAAATCACAATGTAACAATCATAGCATACATACAAATATAAACACTGACTTAAACCATGTGTATATTTCTTTTCTAACCAGAAATTGTAGAGCCTTGGAGTCTACTTGTTTCAAACTACTTTATACTGCAATTTTAAATATTATTTAAAATTTATTTATTTTTATGTGATTAAAAAAATTTAATCTTTTTATTTTTTTACTTCAACTCAATTTTTTGATGTTATCAAATTATTTTGATGTATTGTACTAGTATAAAAAAATTTAAAATAATAATAAAAATATTATTATTCTTTCAATATATTTTTAAATAAAAATATTTTAAAAACAATAATTATTATAATTCGAAACATTCTATTATACTTGAATTGCACGATTCTGAGACAAGTGAAGCTTCTCAGACAAGGTTTTTTCTGCCGCTCACTCGTTTGTGACGAGAGTTTGTTTGTTTGTATGTTTTAAAGATATTTTTTAAAAAAATTATTTATTTTTATTTTAAATGAATATATTTTTAGTGTTTTTTAATTATTTTTATGTGCTGATATCAAAAATATTTTTTTAAAAAATAAAAAAAATAATTAATATATATTTTAATATAAAAATTATTTTAAAAATAATTACAATTATATTCCCAAACAACCTCAGGTTCCAAAGAAGCATCCATGTAAATTGGAAAGGTAAATGTAGTCCAACGATTTAATTTTGATAAAAAGTAGGTCGGAAGTGCAATAACCCAAAAAAACGTAATATATAATTTAGGTGGGAAAGCAAATCAAGCTTGGAGTATTTACGTGTCCGGTTTGTTTAGAGAATCTAATTTTTTTTTTTTTTTTATGAATATTTCATTCTCCTCCAAAATAATTCTCCTGTTTAATCCCAAAAATGTCACGTTTTTCAAGTGTTATAAAATTGAAATTTGATTAATATTATGATTAATGTATTTTAATTATTTACAATATTATGAAAATATTTTTCTTAAATTAATTTATTATTACTATTACTATTATTGTTGTACATAACTTAATAAAAAAATAAATACCAAAAATTCTAAAATTAAACAAGAAAATATACCTTTCTTCATGGTTGTATAATATCACTATAAAAATTGAACTTGTTTAAATACAACCCAAAATTTTACTCTAAAAAAATAACATAAAAGAAAAGCAAAGCCATGTTAAAAGTTTTTTAAGAATCTTTCTGTTATTATATTAGTGATAGTTTTTCTAAGTATTTTTAATTTAAAAATATATTAAAAAAATTTAAAAAAATTATTTTAATATTGTTAAAATAATCTAAAATTAATCACACAAAAAAATTAAAATAAAAAAATAATTTATATTCAAATTAAAATACTTTTAAAATATAAAACAACCATGTTATATTTTTGACATTTTAGACTTTCTTATTCAAATACTCGTTTTGAGTGTGGATAATATGACGTACTCTAGGGACACAAGCAAGAAACATAATTGGGGTTGTGTAAGAGTATGTTTGACACAATTTTTGAATTATGATTTTTAAATATAATTTAAAATTATTTTTTCATAGATAATTTAAAATAAAAATATTTTTTTAAAGAGAGAATGTTATATAAGTTAGAATTTATAATTTAAAAGTTTAAAATTCCACAAATTGAAATCTTTACTCAAGTTTACAGAAAGTATTGTTAAAGTTGAGAATTGTTGCTAACAAACTTTTACTCAAATAAAATATTAAAAAAGTTAAATTAATTTATAAAACGACAACAAACTCAACCTAAATGGAGTAACGGCACTAAAACCAGACCTGCATCCGTCCATGTGCTCTGCTACACGGACAGAGCATGCTCAGCCAAGGTGGTGGAGGCCCTGGAGGGGTCCTCTGCACAAATGCACATGCCCTATTCCAAATGGGGCACATGTATGGCAATACACCCCACGTGTCAAAAGCATAAGAGTCATATCCTTGCCTTTCTCGGACAAAGTAATTTAGTCGGCAGCCTAGATGCTTGCTTGCTATGGAATATTGCGAGCGAATTTACTACAGTCTACACGCCATGGCACATGGCTCAAGTGGTGTACGAACAGTTCATGATGGTCAATCCTCAGCCACTGGATTAATAGCGACCGGTAATCATGGCCTCACATCATTTTAGTTGAATGTGCGGCAAGGGCAGGAATTTTAGTTTAGGAGGGTAAAATTAGAAAATTCTTTTTTTGAAAGATAAAATTTATAATTTATAGAAGAAGAGAGCTAAAAAAAAAAATTTCTTTGTCCTAATTCCGCACCTGCGCGTGGGCCGTGTTTATATTGTGGCGCTCTGTGGCCGCCTGTGTTTAGAAAATCTTGTGGCATTTTGGAACTAGCCCAGGAGGCTCAATGCCCTGAAAAGGTCAAAGAGGGTATATAAAAAATGAATTCTTTCTCTCTAGATCAGGGTTAGAGTGTGCTCGGATGATTTCATAAACACTTGGGTCTAGCACAGGCCTACATGCAGCCCAAAACAGGATACGAATAGGGGACTGCAAATTGCTGGAAATCTTACTGTCACGGTTTTGAATTTCGGATTTCTATCAAGAGATCATATCGATATCGATAGAATGAAAATAACTATGGATTTATCTAAAAAGATTTCGGGATTTTATTTATAAAAGGAAAGTCTCTTAATTATACAGTTTCTTTTCATTGCCTTATATGTGGCTAGCTAGGTAAATAATGAATCCCATGCCCATGATAAGATTGGAAACTACAGGGAGAGAGAGCTAGCTCATGGAGAAAAATATCCTTGGGCTCCTATATACCAAATTACTTGCGTGGTTTGGCATCCTATAAATGGGGCAGTGCACCATGCTCTTCATTCGTTGGCTGTCACATTCACATCCAAACGATCAAGCAAGAAGGCATATATATGGATCATATATAAAGTGCAGGAATCCATGCTTACATATAATAAAGTCATCCATTTGGCTTTGGAGGCCTGTTTTTCTTATCTTCGAAATCATCGTTAAGAAGGTGCAATTACCAGGATAACTTTCTTAGAATGAATAGCATTAGGTATTTATTACAGTAAGAGGGGAGAACAACCGCCTTGGAGAGAGCAAAGACAAAGCTTAGTCTGCAGAAACCGAAGAAGAAGAGAAGAAAAAAAGAGGATTTGAATGGTTTTAATTTAACTAGAAATTAAAATGAAACTTATAAACTTGCAATAACTTTTGTCCTTTCTCTTTAGTAATAGTAATGCTTGCTTTTTTTGGATAAAGAGTAGTTCTAGCTTCCTGATAGTCATTAATGGCAACGATTCACATGCATATAGTTCTCACATTCACAAAACAGCCAGAAAAAGCTAAAGATTTTGGATTTATTGCTTGATAAATTAATATAATATTTGGACAATTTCTGCGAAGTTATTATCAATGATCATGATGCAAAATATCCATGTGATAGACGGGGAGAGGAAGCACACAAGAAATCGGTTTTCTGACCTAGTTTAAAACACTATAGCTTTCAAGATAGGAAATATATCTCATTTAATTATAATTGAAACATTTTGGAAAATCACCAGCACCGCATGTATATTAATTACCTTCTACTGCTAGAAACATTACGTTTTAACACCAAATAATGTGATATATGTTACCTTAATTTGGCAAACAAGCTAATAATCAATGGGAAAATCCCAGGGATTAATAATTTACAAAGGTTATTGTTTGGTTTCATCAGTGCTTCCTAATTATGAAAGCAAATTAATGCCGAAATTCTTTAATTATAACTTAATTTCATGGATGTTTATGATCTACCATAATCCTAGGGTGTTACAGTTTTTCTGATTAACAATATTTATGCATGCTTTGGTGTCATAGTATGGAATAATTTGTACATGAATTAAGTGCAGTATTGGATTAACTATGAGATCGTTAAGTACATTCGAAAAAGAAAAACCAGAGATACTCATGAACTCATATTTCCCTAGTACTCCACAAACACACACACACACACACACACATGTTTGTGTAGTTTTTTTGTGAAGAATCCTCGTAAGCCCCAGAGCCATCCGATCAGACAATTTTGGGCAATTACCTATATATTTGACAAAGAGAGGATTGATCGAGGTCTTACCTCTTGTCCATATAATGGAAGGAGAGAAAAAGCAGTAACAAATTAAAATGTTGGTTAATCTTGTATAAGAAAAATCAAGAATGAAACTTTGAAGCTACATGAAAATGGCAAACCAGAAGAAACATATTCAATCTAAAATGTGTGTGGCTCGCCCTTGTTTATTAATTATTAGTGGTTCACAATGGAAATAATCTGTCATCGATAAAGCTAGAAAAAAATTAAAAACAAAAAAATGCATTCATATTTTCTCACAAATGGTTACATTATACGTGTGAGATTAATATTCCAAGTACAAGAAGAAACATAAAATTAAGCAGCAGGCCGGTTATATATACAAGAGTTGTTAGGCATGCATGTTTTGAGGATGGAGTGCTACCTAGGCTTGAAACACCCGAAGGAAACGGGAGAGTTTTTCACTATGAAAAAGGTCAATTCTCAATAATCACCAAACATCGATTATTTGAGTTTGAATGAGATATAGAAACTGTAGACCATGATAAAGCTAGCCTTGTAATTTTGTATGAACGTAGCCACACCGAACCAGTAATACAATGCACTTACCTCCTGCAGAGAAGAACTTGATTCATAGGTTTATCTTTCGAGGATGTACAATTCTGAACCAAATATCATTCGTTTTCGATCTCTCAGCATAATCTATATATATTACACCAATGGAACAGTAATATGCAAATATATGTATGTTTCTATCTTCATGGAATCCACAAATACCCTTCCCTATCAAACAGTACCAGCAAATAAGTACGTAACCTTTGTACAAGACATTTTCTTCATTCTTTAAAGAGAGATTTACCCGTGTGACTCATTAGCGGTCATGGCCAAGTCTAAGCTCCAAATCGACTTCATCATCGTCAGAAACCCTCCTATTCCCTCCGTTATCTTGTATATTGGAAGATCCAATTTGCAAGCCTATACTTGTACCCCAAAGCTCATCATTCATGCTCAAGGATTGATCAGATCTCGGCACAAGAAAATCATGACTGTCATGTTTGTAACTATATGGGTCTCTAGGGCTAGATCCTGGTTGCTGAAAATACATTCCATAATTCCCTTGAGCCTCCGAAACCGGATAGTACTTCGTGGGTTCACTTGAATTTGGTACCATATATCTAGGATTCTTGATTTCCTCGCTGGCTTTGCTTGATACTGACGAAGAATTTGCAAGTTGCTTGTCTTTGGTTCGATTAGCTCGATCTTTGCGGTGTATGTTCATGTGCCCCCCTAAGGCCTGCGCGTTGGTGAAGCCTCTCTTGCAAAAAGAACATTCATATGAGCGTTTAGCAGAGATTGTTGTCCGGCTTGATAAGTCCTCTTTGACTTGTTCTTGACGATCATAATTTTCTTCAGTACTTGAAGTCTCCGAGCTTTGTTGTTTTGCCGACTCCATACACACACACACGCACACACACCAAGAAATTGAAAATCTTGTTGCGATAGTAAATATTTGCCCACCGATTTTTTTTTGAATCAGTATACGAGATAAAGGTTAGAGAAACGAAGAAAATGGGCTTTTAGTGGAGTTGATTTAGGTTAGAGAGGAATCGAGAGAAGGCTAGAGAGGGAAAGGCAAGTGGTTGTGAAACAGTGACAACACAAGTCATTGGCATTTCCATCGGGGCTTTTGTGTATTTTGTATTGAACGGAGATTCAATTTTGGCGCTTGCTTTAGTACTTTTCTTGTTGGTCGGCATTTGTGATGGATCCATTTATATCTAGTAAATTAATTTACTACTTGTCTCTTTTGATCTGCTGCTATGGGAATTTCTTTTAGTAACGCGGTTTTTATTAACTACTCTTATCAACTTTTACATTTACAATAATCACTATTAAGATACTTACAGTAATTAAGTGCTCAAGAAAATCAGTTCCACATGGTTTGATTTCCAATTTTGATGAAAATATGCTCCACACTCTTTTCATTTACATGTATGAAACGTTCAATATCATTCACGATTCTTGGACGCGATTTTAATTTACCATGTAGATAGCTCCTAGCAGCCAATGCGCAAGACGTGTGTTAATTTGGCCTCAATTCCCACCATTTCCGTAACCAAAAAAACAGGATTAATTGGGTGCAAGTTGGATAATACATAATTTTTAAGGATGCAGAACATGTGAAACAAACTTTAAGTTTAAGGGTATAATTAAGCAAATTCAAAAGTTAAGGACTAGAATGTAAATTTTGAAATCTGGGTGCCATTATCCCCACCCTTCAACGTAGTTTCTCATTGTGTGCCCTTTGTACTCGAAGATATGAGATGAACTGGGCGTGTTTAAAAAAATCAACCAACTGATTAAATAAAAAAATAAAAAAATTAATTGAAAAAATTAAACCGATAGAAAAAATCGAAAAAATTGATTAAAAAATAAAAAATCACAAGATCTGGTTCGATTTTGATTTAAAAAAACTTAAATTGATTAAACCGGATCAAACCGAATCGGTTTAATTAAATCTTAAAAAAAACATAAAAAAAAAATATTAAACTTAAATACTGTAACCCTTCCAGATGCCCCCCTCCCTTCCTCCCTTCCCTTTCCCCTAACCTTTCCAATTGCCCCCCTCCTTTTCTTTCTTTTCAGCTGCCCCACTCCTCCCTCCTGCTCCCACTCCTTTGTACTCTTCTAAAAATATGTTTTTTTAAATGATAACATTTATTTTTTTATCATAAGACTGAATTTGGTTTTTTATGATCTCAATATTTTCTTTTCAGCTGCCCCACTCCTTCCTCCTACTCCCACTCCTCTGTACTCTTTTAGAAATGTGTTTTTTTAAATGATAACATTTATTTTTTTATCATAAGACTGAATTTGGTTTTTTATGATCTCAATATTCAGGGCTTCAGGAAAAAATGAATCATCTCAAAGGATCAACTATGAACTTCTGGTTCAGGTAAATAGTGTAAACAATAGTCTCATTTGTGAAGATGGCCATCAAGAAATATTGATGGTTTTGGTAGCTACAAACTTTTCTTGGAACATAGATGAGGCACTAAGATTGGTTCATTGTCTTTTGATAAATATTTTTAAAATATTTTTGCCTTATGGAATTCTTAGATCCATCCTAAATAACAATCTATCTAAGATGTAATATAGCATCTCGTTCCTCCACTGGCATGAAGCCTAGATTAAGCTATACAACGGCAGCAACAAAAATGTTTCGATTTTTCTAGTTTTAAATGCTAAAAACCAATCGGAATTGAACAAAACTGGTTTGGTTTGAACTAGTTCTTGGTTCGGTTTGAGTTATTTTAATAAGAACTACTATTTTCTGGTTTGGTTGACTTTTTGGGTTAAAATCAGACAAAATCGGAACATGAACACCTCTAAGATGAACCTTCTAACTTTTGACATCATCGGCATATAAGAGGTAATTGTTTCCATGGTCGACTCACAGGTTGACATTACTCATGAATGCCAATATTAATCACAAAACCAAGAGGAGATCGTAATACAAAAATCTTAATCGTATTTTGAAAAATAATATATTTTATTTAAAAGTTTAAGTTTTAAGGTTAAATTGGTTATTTAATATGGTATCAAAGTTTTAATGATTAAACAGTTACAAGTTCAAATCTTATCATTATTTATTTATTTGATAAAAATTAAGCATGTAAGTCTTTAAATTTTAAAAACAAAGACTTCTATATATATATATATTAAAAAATAATATAAATTATATTTTAAAATCTCACTTAACAACTTAAATTTTTAATTTGAATTGAATATTTTTTTGACACTTGCAGTTAAATCTAGCCATTGAAAAGAAATGTTATGAAACCGCTTGGAAATCTTGGAAGAGAAATCCTCTTAGGTGTTCTATGGGCTGCAATTGTGAGTTTCTCATAATGGTTATGGTTTTGCTATTTAAATATATGATATAATCCTAAATACAAGTCTATACCTTACAAATCACTGTCTTGTTATTCTACCTACGTACATCAATTCAGTTTTCTGGGACTCTCTCCTTTTCATTAAATCAATTATATAATCCCTTATCTCTTCACTCCCCAATGTGTGCATGGCGTAGATAACTTGAAGACTGCAAGAAAGGGCGGAAAAGAGAAGGCATGTAAATAGCAATAGCGGGTACAATAACATCAACGTGACTTAACTGGTTATTTCATCCATAGCAATTGAAATTCTTATCGACGCCATAGCTATTTTTTCATCTTTTTAAGTAGCTGGTTTCGTTCTTTTTGGATAGAGAGACGGCAAGAACAACGCGGTGACAGCATTTAATCTAGCTTTGACCATGTCCTTTTGTGTTTCAAGGAAAACTTGACCATGTCCTAGAAATCACTGACAATTTAATTTTCATGTTTATGTGTATGATTTTATATGCTTTTGTATTGATTTTATATACCTGTAATAACTAGTCATTAAAATGACAAATGGAAGAAGGTCATCAACGACAACTACTCGAGTGCTGTAATGTTAATTTTAGTGCCAGTTCACAATAAGGTTCTGAAAGCTTTCTGGACCGGTCCAACCCGATATTGTTAGTGCTGGATGAAAACTCTTATTTTCCAGAGCTTAATCACAGATTTTTCAATAAAGCAATGGCCCCGTGTGGGTTAAGCATACATCTTTATTAGTTTTGACCTCAAACAGGTCGTTATCATATATATATATATATATATAACTTTTGTATTTTTATATTTTAAAAGTATTTTTTAAATAATTTTTTTATTTTACTTTTTATTTTAAATTAATTTTTTAATTAGACTCCACAATTTACTACGGTCTACTTTTTATGAGGATATTCTTATAAAAATATTATTTTAATATATTTTCAAATAAAAAATATCTTGTAAATCAATTACAATACTAAATAGGCTACCTGTAATTTATTTTTCAGATAATTTTTAAAGTTCAATTTATAAATGTGATGCTTGTAATAAGTTAGATTTGACAATGAAAATCAAATTGGACGATATCTTTAAGCTGAAGAGAATTAATCAAAATATTTTCCAGTGAATTATTGAGCCGGATTTCACCATAAGCTTAGCATAAATTTTGAAAATGATTTAATCTTGAACTTAAAGTTTCCGATTTTCTTCTAATGACATGAACGAATGATTCTCCTAAAACATATCCCACCATGAATTCCAATCGTACTGCGCAGCCCTTCACTTTTCTTTCTGTTTTTTTTTTTTTTTTAAGATTTACTTGTATGATCTTAGCAAGGGGCACCCCTTTTTTTCCTTTTGTTTTTCATTGCTTGAATTTCTTGAATGTCCATTCATAGACCTCTAGGTGCAAGCAGTCGTTTTCTCTGACATCTACCGCTTGATCATATGCCCCATATGCTAGTCCATAAAGGAGTGATCTCCCTTCTCTGTGACCAAGGAGAGGAATGGACAAAACATTGCTGTCACAGCCATCAGCATGAATTGCCAGATAAGCACATGACAGTAAGGTTCTGGCTACATGCATGATAAACAATTCCAATTCATCTAGATGCCTTTCGTTCTCGTATATTATGATGAGATTGTCATTTACCACCGTATGCAGATGCACAACTGAAGTTTTCAACACATTGATATATTCACAATTTCGCTTTTAATATGGCACGATCTTCTTAACTTATTCAGTGTTCATATGTTATTGGAGTAGTCGATCTCCTAATCCAGGTTTTGAAGGTCATATTTTTCGATATTTTCTCAAAAACTATAGGCAGGTAACACTTCTTCCGACATGAGATCCGGAATGAAAGTTTTGAGCCTAGGTTTGAGGGTAACTTTTATTTTCACAAGGTTGTCAGAAAACCCCAAACAAGAACAACAAAAGCTGTGAAATTCAGTTTTCCGTTTTGCTCCATAAAACCTGATATGTAACACATCCACTGTCTTCTCAGATAATAACTTTAAGATGTTTCTTTTTATACTTTTTTTTTTTAAATTATCATGACGTTTTGCGAAAAGTACTTTAAATATGTTTCCATTCGTAATTATAAGAATAAAAACTTTGGTAGCAACAATTTGACCGCCAATGCGTGAAGAAGAAGAGCCTGCTGTGATATGGGCCACAACTGCAAATGGAGAGGCCCATGTTTTGTATGGCACGTCCAAACCTGGGGTGGTATGCTCAAGTCGGCAAAAATCTAAGTTTCTTTTTTTTGGTTGATGACCAAGTTGTTACTGTTATGATAAAAATGACCAAGTTAATTTAGACCCACGAAGAAAATAACTCATGTGACTTAACCCTTTAATTAAAGGTCGGCTTCCATGCTTATATTGGAGATCAGCTGGGATTTTCCACTGAAGAACAAAAAAAAAAAATCAATAGAAGATATTTAAGTCGCAATGGGACAGGCTTAATTGTTCTTTCAAGAGACAATCATACGTTCTTTGTTCTTTTATGTCATTGGAAGGTCAATTATCAGCATGAATGATATTAGAGCTAATGATAAACAAACTATATATATACAGGTCGATCAAAGGTGAAATGTTTCAATTGCTTTTTTTGTTATTTAGTACTAAAG